AAAACCTACTATGTACCTTTTATAAAGGACATATAAATGTGTTTAAGCATGTAGTGCTTACTTTAAAATATAACTATATTGTAGAACACACTTTAGATGTTTCTTTGAGTAGTGCAAATACCAACTTATTCTACAAGAAAAAAATAGCATTCTCTTTTTTTTTTATCTCCCTTAACAGGCTTATGAAAAAATTGCCTACCTTCTCACTAATTTGGGTAAGTCCATTTTTCATTCCTTAGTAAGTAAATAACATATGCCAAACTAGCTATAGCTGCTTTACTTATTTTAGCATTTTTAACATTAATTTTTGTTAATAAATATAAATTAATGATGTGACATAGGAGTCAGTGCTACATCAAACAATGATAGAGAGGCAGTTACAGAATTCAAAATAGCAAAACTAGTTCTCTTTATTTGGCAGTGCTTTTTATTTCCCTTAATGTTTCAGTTTTTTCCCTTGCAAATATTCACTTTTATCAAAGTATTATCTATGCTACGTGTACATAATTTAAAAGGTCAAACAATCTGAAGAGATTTATAATGAACTTTCCCCATCACCCACTCCATTTCCTGTGTCACTGAAATACTTTTAAGATCTTTACTGATTTCTTCTGTTATTTCCTGCTATATTTCTGACATGCTTCTACTGCTTCTTTGTTATATTTGTTTTAGTTTTAATAAACATTGCCTTCCCATTATAAAAGATAAGTTTGTCTTTGAAATTTCTCTCAGCATGTTCAACCATTAAAAAATTAATGTACTCTCTTTTATTTTTCTTTTTAGAGATATTTTTCTGGAGCTCTCTATTTATTCTAGTTTATGTGAGTTACTCTCTAGGATTATGGCCTGCTACACTTAGACAAGGAGCTCTGGTAGCGTAGTGCCTAAGGCACTTGACTGCTAACCAGAAGGCTGGCGGTTCAAATCCATCAGCCACTCCCCGGAAGGAAGGTTGGGAAATCTACTTCCATAGTGATAGTGCCTTGGAAACCCAAGGAGGGGTCACTATGAGTTGTGTGCGACTCAACGGCAAATAACAACAACAACAGCACACTTAGACAAGCCTTCACCAGCACCTGGGAAGTCTTTTCGCCTCTTTTTTTGAGTTGAATACTGCTTCCTGAATTCTATGTCTTTTTCTATTTTGGTTTAAATGCATATTTTGAAAAAGCACAATCTCGAGTAGATTTCTAATAAAACATTTATGGCGAATAAATTTCTTCAGGCCTTGTATGTCTAAAAATGTCTTTATTATTCTCTCAAATGTGATTTTTGGTTTTAAGGATCTTGGAATTCTAGATTGAGAATGCTATTTCCTTTGATTTTTGAAGGAAATTTTCCACTGTCTTCCAGGCTCTAGTGTGGTTTTTAAAAACTCTTCTGCTATCCTAATCCATAGTCTTTAGTATACAACCCCTTTGGGTTTTTTGTTTGTTTTTTGTCATAGTTTTTGTTCTTTTCTCTCTTTTTGAGGCTTTGAGATGCCTAATGATGTGCTTTGGTGAAAATTTTTTGTTATTCATTGTGCTGGGTGTTAAGTGCTATTTAATATGTCTATTTCTATGGTCCTCTAAGAAATAGACACTGAGATGAAGTTAGGGTAAGAGGCATATTGATGGATAACTGTTATAAAAGATAAAAGGAGGAGAAGCAGAATTGGGCTTAGGGAGACCACAGACAGTGCTGCAGATCTGATAAAGTCTTAACCAGCCAAAGAGAAAGCTCTAGAACAAAGATTTCCCTTTAGAGGAATGCAACATTAGGCATAGTTAGTCAGACCTTAGTACTCCTAACAGGAGCTCTGGTGGCATAGTGCTTAAGGCATTTGACTGCTAACCAGAAGGCTGGCTGTTCAAACCCACCAGCCACTCCTCAGAAGGAGGTTTGGGCAATCTACTTCCGTGGTGATACTTCCTTAGAAACCCAAAGAGGGGTCGCTATGAGTCAGATCTGACTCAATGGCAGTGAGTTTGGTTTGGTTTTTCAGTTAGTGCTCCTAACATGCTCAGTCATTGGCAGATGGCGCCTGGGAAAAGCAAGCCTTGGCTGAAAACTGAGGCAGATTCTAAAGACTCTCAGTTCACTGCATTCCCTGGATGAATAGGAAGTTTTTCTTGAATGGAGATAACACTGGCACACCTCCATGGCTGTGCAATCTGAGAACTCATGTTCTTCACTTCTGGGAAGTTTTTGTATAGTGTTTGTTCAATAATTTCCTCCTCTTTTTATTTTCCTGAAATTTTAATATTCTAATGTTTCTTAACAGAATCTGTAATACTCTAATTTTTTCAATTCTTGTTTTCTGTGATATGTTTGGCAATATATGTTTGGCGGAGTGTACTTTCTTCAAGGTATCCTCAATTTTAACTTCTATGTCTTCTACTGAGTATTTTATATCTGCTCATATTTTAATTTCCCAAGAGCTATTTTCTGTTCTTGAAATCTTCCTTTCCTATATCCTATTCTTGTTTCAGAAATGCAATGTCTTAAGGAGGCAATATAATTCATTTTTAAAAATATAAGCTCTAGAATAAGAACACATGGGTTGAAATGTTTGCTCCACCGCTTATTATTTTATAAGTAATTATACATTAGTGATCTTTTTTTTGTTTTAGTCTCTTAGTGCCTCTATTTCTTTTTTTTATAAATGGGGATAAAATGATGCATGTCTCATAGTATTACTGTGAAGATTAAATTAATTGATGTATATAAATCATTTATAAAAATACCTCACAGTTAATACTCTTCTTTCTCTTTGAGGATAATAAGTTTCTTGGTTTTTTGTTTTTGTTTGTTTGTTTGTTTTTTGCCACATGCATGAATTTTCTCTGTATATTTCTTTTGTTCCTTAGCTTTTAACTCTTGTTTATTTTGCTATTCTCAGATGCATGACAATCTATGATTTCTCTTCACTTTTATAAGTGAGATATATAGGAAATTCTCTACACATAGATTCCATGGTGCTTGTTCACTGGGCAGCAACACTTTAGCAGGATCCACATTCCAACCATTTCATGGAATGCCCTGCATGTTGGTTATGTATGGTATTTTCTCCTGGACTATCAGTTTTCCTTTAGAGATATCTTGCATCTCCCTGCTTGATTCCCACTGTTTGACTGCTGAATCAGGGAAATAGCTGGAGCTTTTACCAATTAAAATACAGACTTTGATATATATATATGTGTGTGTGTGTGTGTATACATATATATGTATATACGTATAGATACGTATATATGTATATACGTATAGATACGTATATATGTATATATACATATATACATATATATGTATCTATACATATATACGTGTATATATATACATATATACGTATATAAGTGTATATATACATATGTGTATATATACATATATATGTATATATATATGTATATACATATATATGTATATATACGTATATACATCTATATGTGTATATATGTATATACATATATATACACACACACACACGTATGTATACATATATATGTATATATGTATACATATATATGTGAAGAAAAAAAAATACATATGTATATTCCCTTTCTGGGCTTGCTCCAAATCAAATATTTTCTGATTCAATATTTCCAAATGTCCTTTTGTCTCCAATTCCTGTGCTTTCAGTAGTTTTATAACCAAATAGCAACTTACTTCTTTAGCATTCCTCATACCTGTACTACTACCTTTACCATCAGTCTTTAGTTCCACGCTTTGTTGATCTAGCTGACACTTACTCTTTATATTTTCTTTCTAGTTTCCAACATACATACTTCTCTTATCTGCTGTCTTCTCCTCTGCTTCCATTATCATTTGTCCTTGTACATCAATGCCTATTTTATTACTTAATGACTTGCTAACAGGGCTTTGGTGGTGAGGACAGATATAAAACCATGTTGCAAATGGAAAATCTATAAGTGTTTACATTCTTTGGACAAGCAGTGTTGTAAAATGTGAGCAGAGCAGACTCTTAGCCAGATCTACAAATTAGAATCCAGATTGCCCCATCCTGTTTGTGTGACTGTGAGCACATTGCCTCCTCCTCTCAGGCCCTTTCCTTTTACCTCTCCTCGTCTTCCTTAAAGAAGCCAGAAATCCTGGAATACGTATTCTGTATTGAAGGACAAAATTTTATTACACATCCATTGAGGAATGGCCTTTTATTGTTTGAGAGCTCACCAGATCCCTGGCACTGCTCTAAACACTTTTCATTCATTATTTTCTTTAATTTTTCATAACGATTCTATGACAGTAAGATTCTTATTTTTTTGTGTAAGAAACCAAAATGAAGTTGAATAAGCAGAATTTAAACTCAGATGTGGCTTACTCCACTTAATCTCCAGGAAATATTATATCCCATAATTTACAATTATAAGAAATAGTAGAAGGAGAATTATGTACAGGGAAGAAACTAGGTATTAGTTCATACTCTGGTGCTAACTAGTTACATCTTTTCGAGGAGTAGTATTATGAAATGTGAAGGATCAGGCTTTTGGGTTAGATACACCAAAACCAAAACCAAACCCACAGGGTTTCCAATGATAGGGGAGCAAACTGCCACATCTTTCTCACATGGAGTGGCTGGTGAGTTTAAACTGACGGCCTTTCAGTTAGCAGCCAAGGACTTAACCACTGTACACCAGACTTCCCTGGAGTCATTTGTTGTTAGGTGCTGTCAAGTCATCTCCAACTCATAGCAACCTTATGCACAACACAACAAAACACTGCCTGGTCCTGTGCCACCCTCATAATCCCTGCTATACCCAAGCCCATCGTTGCAGCCACTGTGTCAGTCAATCTCGTTGAGGACCTTCCCCATTTTTGCTGATCCTCCACTTTACTAAGCATGACATCCTTCCCCAGAGAATGGTCCCTTCTGACAACATGACTAAGTGGGTGATATGAAGTCTGGCCATTCTCACTTCCAAGGAGCATTCTGGCTGCACTTCTTCTAGGACAGATTTGTTATTTGGCATTGTATATTGGGCAGTCCTACCCCAAGGAGGGATCGCTATGAGTCGGGGCCGACTCGACGGCAAACAACAACAACAGCAACAACAATACCAATTACAATTTTGAGCAAGTTTCCTCCTCACTCCATTCTCCTTCTCTGTTCTCTCCTCCTCCTCTGGTCTTATTTTTGAGTCTCAATTTCTTCATTGGTAAAATGACAATAATTATAGTTCCTAGTTCACCATTGTTGCAGTTTGGCCGCCTGACACATGATAGGTGTTCAACAAATAGCAATGATCTGTTTCATTGTTCTTGAAACTCTGTGAGCTACAGGTATTTCAACTGGGTAATTAAGGAATCAAATTAGATTGGCCCAAACCTTTCTTCCAGTTCTGACTCCTTATATCCTAGTTTATACCTAGGATGGAAACAAATCTAAGTAGATTGGGAGAGTCATAATTAATAGTAAGAAGATGAAGAATTATTTGTGCAAAGTACTAGGTATGCCAAAGACTTTGTTTGATATTTGATTTTTCTGTCCATTATGTCCACTTGATGACATAATGAATGTGAACTGTATAACTGTCCCATAGGGTTTCCTAAGCTGTAATCTTTATGGGAGCAGATCACCTGGATTTTCCCCCAACAGAGATATTGGTGGGTTTGAACTGCCAACATTTCAGTTAGCAGCCAAGCACTTGAGGCACATGCATGCATACACACATGCATACATTATGTATTCCACTTAATTTTTTACTGTACTTATTTGCACTTCAAATTAGAAAGTTTCATTTTCCAGAAAAAGCCATACACTGTTTGTAATTTTGTTGTTTTTAACTTCATGCTTATTGATTTATTTTTATCCAAATATTTCATTTAAAAAAGAGAAAAAAGTTTTGATTCTATTACAGTTTTTTTTTTTTTTCCTTAATGTGAAAATATATATATATGTATTTGATCCAAAGGGATATTTTTCACTTTGGTTTTGTGGGTATTGAAAATTACATCAGGATCACCCTAAGTTGTTTCCAGTAAAGAATTATTGTTAATAATGAACTCCACATCTAAAATAAATCTGAACTCCTAGGGATAAATTAAGTCAAATGATAAAAGAATTTTGACTCTTATCAGAGATCAAACCTACCTCAAAGTGCAATAACCTTAATGTGTAGTAACTTTTTACTAAATACATTATTAATTTTAAGGAAGAGAGAAATTAATAGTGAAAAATAAGATGTAATTTGTGAATAAATAACAATGTAGAATAACTGATTTATTATCAATAACTGGCTCTGTTATGGAAAAAATAAACCATATTTCTACCAGAAATACATTCTCCTAGAAAATAGCATCATTATTCTCAGGATTCAGAATTTCTCTTCTCTGAAAGCTAACTCAAAATGAGCCACAGTGTACTCTATGTATGAATGACATACTATTTTGAAAAATAAAAGGTTGTTTACTTTAGTATAGAAACCATGTTACACCTCAAAGTTGACATTACTGTAGTAAACTCCATTGTCACAATCATCCATCACTGTGTAACAAATCACTCCAAATTTTGTGGCTTTAAAGACAGCAACAATTCATTATTTTTCATGAATCTCGGCAAAGCTCCATTAGATGAGTTTCTTCCTCTGAGCAGTACCAGCTGGAGCTGGGGTATCCAAGATGACTTATTTACTCCCATGTCTGAGACCTCATGTGGAATATTTGAGACTACTAGTATTTTCTCTTATCCTATGTGCATCATCACATGGCTAGTGTGGGTGTTCATAGCAGTACAGTAGGACTTCTTATATGACAGCTGGCTTCCAAGAGGTCATGCTTCTGTAAACAAGGGCTCATCAAGCCTCTGCTAGCATCTCATGTGCTAGAAGCCTGATGGCCAAGACCAGAGTTAAACTGGAAGGCAACTACACCAGGGCATTTATACTAGGAGATATGATTCAACGGGGCACCATTTTAAGGGCCACCAATGTACCATTCTTTCACATCTAGTAAAATGTCTTTTTGTAATCCTCATTGTTATAATGGCATGAAAGAACAGAACAACTCTCAACATATTTGCAAATTGGTTTATAAACTAAATTCTACTTAGAATGGTTTTCTCTAATAAAAACTTTGTCACTTTTCCTCACTTCAAGAGTCACTTCTTTGAAACCCTTGTTTCACAGAGGCTTTACAATCCTTCAGTCTTCATGTTTCCTTAGCAGTTTGAGATTCCTTTCTTTATTGCACTTATTATATTGCTCTGAGATGTGTGTGTATTCTTTCTCTATAAGACTGAGAAACTGTTAAGGTCAGAAATCATACAGGATACATTTTTAGGTTATGATACAATAAAATTAGAAATGAGAACCAAAAAGAATTTATACATTAGGAATTAAGGGGAAAAAAGATAAGTAAAAAAAAAAAAAAATCTTATTTTCCAAATAAGTTTCTATTAAGAAAGTAAAAGAATTTAAAAACTATTAGAAAAAAAGACAAGTGAAAAAGCACAACACAGTCAAAATCTGTGGGGAAATATCAGCTCCTCTGACCACTCTTCCTAATGTATATCATCCAGTTACTCTTTAAGATGCCCCAAACTCTTCTGCTTCTGGCACCTAACGTCTTTGTGTTTGGGGTCTCCAAGATCTCTTTCTTCCTTATCCCATGGTTGCCTGTGCTTTCCTTAAATTAGATCTTATCTATTTTATGTTTTCTTGAATTCTTCAATCACATTAAAATATGTTAGATGTACATATGTATTTTCTATTATTTCTTTGGATACTAGGGGAGCAGATTCCTGCAGCATATGCTGCCATCTTAATCTAGTCCTTCTCATCTTATTTATTAATTTCACTTATTCATGTATGGTAGAACCATAAAATGTGACTGTTGACAGTATTCTTGGAGAGCATCTTGTGTAAACCCTCCAATTCATAAGTCACAAAACATTCACCAACTAAATGTGAAAGACCTGCCTTAGACTACCTGCACATTAGGTGTAAATCTGTGATAAGAATTCAGTTCTTCTGACTGACGTAGTCCTCTTTCCTCTTTTCCGTTTCTTGAAAACAAATCCATCACCAGTTTTTTTTTTTTTTTTTTAATATACATTCTTTAAGAATTTTGTTGATAATTTAGGTTATATATATTTGAGTATAAAGGTCTATAGTTGATACAAATAGTTTGTACTGAGATTACTAACTTAAAGGTTGGCAGTTCAAACCCACCCAGTAGGGCTATAGAAGAAAGGCCTGGTAATCTGTTTCCATTGAGATTATAGCCAAGAAAACTTTGTGGAGCAGTTCTACTCCTTAACACATTGGGTCACCATGAGTTGCAATTGACTGGATGGCAATGGGTTTTTATACTGAGCACAGTCTGTTTGGGTGAAGGACTGATGTAATATTGTATTTACCTATAAATGACAAAGAGAACCCTTATATATGTATATACTAATAACAGGTATCATATTTTTGTAGCAATAGGATATTTTCTAAAGATTATGTAATTCGATCCTTTCATCAATCCTGTACAACACATATTATTATTCACATTATTCAGGCGTAGATCCTAGAACTCAGAGATATCAAGTGCCTTGTAGAAATGGTAAAATCCTGCAGAACCTAAATATGGGTCTTCTGATTCCATGTCCAGTGTCCTTCATTCATGGTATCTATGTAAACATACCCTATGCTCCTTTCAGAGTTTCCTCGAACAGAATCTGAATGGGAAAACAGCTTTGCTCTGAAGATGTTCCTTTTCCAGTTTGTCAATTTAAACAGTTCCATCTTCTATATCGCTTTCTTTTTGGGGAGGTAAGTCACCTTCATACATATCATTTCCACAAAATGAAAAGAAAAAGAAAGAAAGAAACTGAACTGATCCATTACCAGTTAGCCAACAAAAGTGGCAACTTCTCCCTGCCCTGGAAAACTCTGCTAATTATGTTTTCACTCAAAAGACTTCTTAGTACATCACTTCTAGCAGCAAATAGCAAAGATATAAAACATAAAAAACAAAACCTGTATGTCACACTTGGAAGAATTCTGGTGGTGCTGTGCACTTATATGCAGACTGAAAAGTCAGTAATTTGAAACTACTAGCTGCTCCACGGGAGAAAGATGTGGCAGCCAGCTTCCGCAAAGATTTACAGTCTTGGAAACCGTATGGGGCAGTTCTGCTCTGTCCTATATGGTCACTATGAGTCACCACTGATTTGACAGCAGTGGGTTTTGGAGTTTTTGGTCATACTTCAGGTGAATTGTGACTATACAATCATCAGCAATACATTTGTCAGTGAAGAAAAATATTTTTATGTATCCCTGGATTACACTTCATTAGTGTAGAAACCTGCCCCCATCATGTTAACTTTTGTTCCTACCTTTGCTGCAAATATCAAAAACAAATGTTTAACTAATGACTTCGGTTTGCCATATGCTTAAGATGCCAGCCAGTGCCATGGAAATATAATGAAGCTAGGAAGTTTTGAACCAAACAATTCAACACATTATTGTAATATTCATTAACTAGGTCAATACGACATTAAAATTATGCATGTGAAAGTGGAAAATGCCATCCAGTTGTTTTGTCTCTCCCTTCTCAACCCATTGGTATTGAGTTGATGCATCACTTTTTTTTCTTTCTTTTTTAAGTCAGACACTTTGATGTTGTGTACGCATGAGCAAGTCAACCATTTGAGGACAAGTTCTACTGATGACCATTTATGTCTACCCACACATGCACTTGCTGTGATATATTACAAGATGTTCTTCAGTCATTCCCACATAAATGCTGATGAATAATTAAAAATGCCTTTTTACAGATTTGTAGGCCACCCAGGAAGTTACAATAAACTTTTTGACCGGTGGAGACTGGAGGAAGTAAGTAACCCATGTGATGGTGTGTATAGGGATGGGCATGAACAAGTGCTAGTGACTGTAGGAAGAGGATTGGGAGACAAGAAGAGAAAAAGTGGTACAGGAAATTTCAGACATGTTGAAGACACATTTTTGGTAGAAGATAGCTCTTAGGAGTTCAAAAATGAAGGAACTACATCTCTCAATAAAAAGAGGGGCCAGCTGAAATGTCCAATCCCAAGTTTGAACTCAACTTTCTTTAATTTTCTGTTACATCCATTTCTTCCATTCAAAGAGCCCAGGTATTTAGCTTCAGGAATTTTCCTCTTGGAAACTTTGTTATCTATTTTAAATATGATAGGTTTTGTTGTAAGCAGTGGAAACTTTATTCTAAAATAAAAATAATTTTGAAACTCCAATATATAAAATATGTAAGTATCTTGCCTCAAGCTCATATTTTTATTAACTTAAAATATATATCTCATATAAAAAAATGTGTAGTAGTGGTATTGCCAGGACACAAAGTAAGCATATTACATATTTTCACAGAGACTTACAAATTTTCTTCCAAAACACTAGTCCATCACCTATAGTGTTTGAACTTACTTCCTTAGATGTTTACCAATCAAACAAATTTCAATTTTCACCAATTTTATACTCTAAAAGATACTTCATCCTGATTTTATTTTACTTGTGAGTGAACTTGAAAAATAATTTTTTATAAGTTTGTTGGCCATTTTATATTTTATTTTCTGTGTGTATGTGTGTGTAAATTTTAGGAGCTCTGGTGGTATAGTGCCTAAGGCATTTGACTGCTAACCAGAAGGTTGGCAATTCAAATCCATCAGTTGCTCCATGAGAGGAAGATGGGGCAATCTACTTTTGTGAAGATTTACTGCCTCAGAAACCCAGTAGGGGTTGCTTTGAGTTGGAATTGACTTGAGAACAGTGAGTTTTGTTTGGTGTAAACTATTTCTATCCATTTTCATTGGACTGTTATTCTCTGTCTTATATGTGGAGCCCTGATGGCACAGTGGATAAAAAGGTTGGCTGCTAAGTAAAAGATCAGTGGTTCAAACCCACCAGCCACTCCTTGATAGAAAGATGTAGCAGTCTAATTCTGGAACAATTTACAGTCTTGGAAACCTCATGGCAAAGTTCTGCTATGGTGGTATTAGTGTTGTTGTTGTTGTTAAGTGCTCTTCAGTTAGCTCCGACTCATAGTGATCCTATGTACAACAAAATGAAATGCTGCCCAGGTGTGCATTGTCCTCACAATCCTTGTATTAGTAGGAAGTCATAATTTAGAAAGAGACTAAAAAAAATGTCTTAGTTATTTAGTGATACTATAGCAGAAATGCTACAAGTAAATGGCTTTAACAAACTGAAATTTACTCTATCACAGTTTATGAAGTGAGAAGTCCAAATTCAGGCACTAACTCTAGGGGTAGGTTTTCTCTCTCTGCCAGCTCTGGGGGAAGGTCCTTGTCTCCTTTCAACATCTGTGGGTCCTTGGAGAGCTTCATGTATCTTGGCATTAATCTTCCTCTGGGTCTAGGAATTTCTTAGTACAGGGACCCATTGTCCAAGGGATGTGCCCCACTCCCAGCTCTTCTTGGCAGTAAGAAGGTCCCTCTTTCTCTGCTCATTTCTCTTTCCTTTTATCTTTTATAAGATAAAAGATGATGCAGGCCACACCCCAGGGAAGCTCCCTTCATATCTGATCAGGGCTATGATTTGCATAAGGGTATTGCATCCCACCTTAATCCTGCCTGATTAATATATCAAAGATAACATAATCCTCCTTAACATAACTTCATCCTGACTCACCAACACTTAATATTTAGTATTTACAATGCATCACAAAACAGAAGATAATTACATCAGATCACAAAATGGAAGACAACCACATAATACTGGGAATGATAGGCTAGCAAAGTTGACGCATAATCTGAGGGGACACAATTCAATCCAAGACAAAAATATTTCCTGGACAAAATTGAGAGTAAGGATATTTCCCATCTCTACCTAAAAAGTCCCTCAAAATAAGAGGAGGAGACTGAAGATTGAGTGATCTAGTTCTGTAGTGATACTGCCTCAAAAACCCAAGGAAGGATCACTATGAGTCGGATCTGACTCAAAAGCAGTGGTTTTTTTTTTTTTGTATTGTTTTGTTTTGTTTTTTATTTGTGGTGTGCCACAGAGCCTTCCAGTAATGAATTGAAATAAATGGAGAAATCTTAAAACTATATATACTTTGTAATCTGAGGAACCTGGGCTCAAATGTTAACCTTGTCACTTACTAATTCTTTGCCCTTGATTTACCTTCTCAAAATATCTGTTTCCTCATCTGTAAACTGGCAGTGATAATACTTGTGTTGCTAGGTTTACATAAACAAGAGATAATTTACATAACACAGTAATACCTCTGGACTATGGTGTTGTTGTTGTTATGTGCCGTGGAGTCGGCCCTGACTCATAGCGACCCCTCCTTGGGTTTCCGAGGCAGTATCACTACTGAAGTAGATTGCCCCATCTTCCTTCCGAGGAGTGGCTGGTGGGTTTGAACCGCCAGCCTTCTGGTTAGCAGTCAAGTGCCTTAGGCACTATGATACCAGAACTCCCCTGGACTATGGTAGGCATACTTTAAATTGTAGCTGATGTGTATCTATGGTTGGTCTTCGAAGGCACCTAGGGATTATTTTATCTGCCATAGATCAAGGTTTTTCATAATCCCTGAGCCTACTGTTGTTATTGTTGTTTTTAGGTGCCATCAAGTTGGCTCCAACTCTTAGTGACCCTGTGTGAAATAGAACGAAATAGTGCCTGATCCTGCACCATCCTCACAGTCCTTGCTGTGCCTGAGCCCATCATTACAGCCATTGTGTCAATCTATCTCACTGAAGGTCTTCTCCTATTTTGCTTACTTCCTTTACCAAGCCTGATATCCTTCTCCAAGGTATGGTCCCTTCTGACAACATGCCCAAAGTTGGTGAGATGAAGCCTGGCCATTATCGCTTCCAAGGAATATTCTGACTACACTTCTTTGAGGAGAGATTTATTCATTCTTCTGACAGTCCATGATATTTTGAGTATTCTTTGCATACAATTCAAAGGCATCAATTCTTCCTTGGTCTTCCTTATTCATTGTCTAGCTTTCACATGCATGTGAAGAGATTGAAAATACCATGGCTTGGGTTAGGCACACTTTAGTCTTCAAAGTGACATCTTTGCTCTTCAGCACTTTTAAGAGGTTTTGCCCATTGCAATAGGACCTCTGATTTATTGACTGCTGCTTCCATGGTTGTTGATGGTGGATCCAAGTAAAATGAAATCTTTGACAACTTCAATTTTTCCTCCGTTTATCATGATGTTGCTGACTGGTCCAGTTGTGAGGATTTTCTTTTTCTTTATGTTGACATGTAATCCATACTGAAGGCTCTAGTCTTTGATCTTCATCAACAAGTTCTTCCAGTCATCTTCACTTCCAGCAAGCAAGGTTGTGTCATCTGCATATTGCAGGTTGTTAAAGGGTCTTCCTCCAATCCTGTTGCTAATTTTTTCATATAGCCCAGCTTCTCGGATTACTTGTTCAGCATATAGATTTAATAAATATGGTGAAAGGATACAACTTTGTCACACACTCTTTTGATTTTAAACTATGTTGTTGTTGTTGTTGTTATGTGCCGTCGAGTCAGCCCTGACTCATAGCGACCCCTCCTTGGGTTTCCGAGGCAGTATCACTACGGAAGTAGGATTGCCCAACCTTCCTTCCGAGGAGTGGCTGGTGGGTTTGAACCGCCAGCCTTCTGGTTAGCAGTCAAGTGCCTTAGCCACTATGCGAACATCTTTCTGGTATTTTTTGCTTTCAGCCACGATCCATATGACATCAGCAATGATATCCCTCATGACACGTTCTTTTTTGAATCCAGCTTGAATTTCTGGAAGTTCCCTGTCAATATACTGCTGCAACCATTCTTTAATTATCTTCAGCTATACTTTACTTGCATGTAATATGAATGGATATTGTTTGATAATTTCCACATTCTGTTGGATCACCTTTCTTTGGAATGGGCACTAATATGAATGTTTTCCGTCAATTGGCTAGATAGCTATCTTCTAAATTTCTTCCCCTAAATGAGGAAGTGCCTCCAGTGAGACATCCATACATTGAAACATCTCGATGGGTATTCTGTTAATTCCTGGAGCCTTGTTTTCTGCCAATTCCTTCAGTGAAGCTTGGACTTTTTCTTTCAATACCATTGACTCTTGATCATATGCTCCTCCTGAAATAGTTGGACATAGACCAAACCTTTTTTGTACAGTGCTCCGTGTATTCCTTCCATCTTCTTTTAATGCTTCCTGCATCTTTCAGAATTTTGCCTATAGAATCTTTCAGTATTGCAGTTCAAGGCTGGATTTTTTTCTTCAGTTCTTTCAGCTTGAGAAATGGCAAGTGTGTTCTTCCCTTTGGTTTTCTAACTCCAGGTCTTTGAACATTTCATTTTAATGAAAGAATGAGAAGAAGGAAGGAGCCATCCACTTCTGAAGAAAAAAATGGTCAGGGAAAACCTTATGAATAGCAATGAAACACTGATTTATTACTGGAAAACTTTAGGAATAGCCTTGAAACAGGACCTACTAGAAGTCCCCAAATCCAACTTGCAGATTTTGTTTTTATGGCCCAGAAACATGACTATTTCTGGTAGAAGGCTATTCATCTATCCAGTTTGGGATGCAAAGCTTTCTTTATTCTAAGAATGTTTGGCTGGAGTTAGCAAGGGTAGGGGATAGAACAGAGCATTTGCAGGCAGGAAGATCTGTGTGTTGATGTCATTGTAGGGGATGCTTCCACCAATAATTTTGCATAATTGGATATTATTTTCTTAATTGTGAAATTATTGGAAGTCATGATTCATCTTGAAAGTCCCAAGAGACTAATTATAACATTGTTGTCAGTAAATGCTTTTTATAACTCTAGCAATTTTGCATGATATATATGAAGTATGTGGTAGCTATATTCT